TTTCATACTTTATTTATTTATTCCAAAGATAATGATAACTGTTAAAATTTTTCACTAACCATTGGTTAAATCTAACAGAGCTTCGAATGACTGGGGCCAGGTGGGCATGTATCTCTACAGTTCTATCTACAAGTTCATATTCTACACTCTCTGGCACTGATATGTAACTGATGCACATCACTTAAGGTAATGGTGACTTTACTAGATAAATTATGGCCCTACTGTATCACTGAGGATACAAGTGCAAGTGACACCATCTGCAGTGTATGTCACAGTAGGTAATAAATGTCTAGTTGATATCCATCTTAGAAAGTTGGAGTGAAATATTATGCTTCATCATAGATACAATACAGCTGTGCTAGCTACACAGTTCAATATAAAGCTGTTGTCTGCCACTCTCAGATTGAGAAAGAGGTGCATTCTCATGGATCAGTATGAGGAACTTGACAATGTCAGGTTGCACTCCCTCTGTCATACTACATTAAAATTAATTAAAAACAGAGATTGATGTGGGCAGTGCTCATTTGTCTTGATATATGCCTGGAAATACTGCATGAAGAATAGATGTCACCCATATGTCACAAAGAATGAGTTAGTGTTCATAATGTTAGTGATGCAGACTGTACAAGTAGATAGAATTTCCTGTTAGAGGATACACACATAAAACTTATCATATGAGATTAAACATGATAGTTTCTTATTTTGGGTTGTTATAATTGCAGTCTTGGGTCATTTTCAAAGCAATATGGTTTAAGTAGTTGAGGACACAGCTACAACAGCACTGTTAGGAAGACCAGAGATTTCCGTTTTCAAGGAAATATTTAGCTGTCTCCGGTTTGGATCGAACCACACACCTCAGGTCACCTACTGAGGTTCAAATCTATTACAGACAGAGCTATCATGTACAAACTGTCCTCTGTTTGCTTCAATCTGTTGCAGACCTTATAAGGGTTTATTTACAGAACTGACAAGAATGATGGCACATGAAATAATATAATACATTGAAATAAGATGAATTAATACAGACGGACTCAACAAGATTATAATGTACATGTAGTATATATAAATATGTTATCATATTGCTTTACACACACATGGCATTTATTTCAAACTAGGAGAATTAAGAAAACAGACATAATCCGAGGATTAAGGAAGCTTGTTTCAATTTTGTTTACACATCTTTTTCTGTAAGCATTTTTTTACAGCTGTTAGATACCAGACGATATTTTTATAGTTTTTGGGTTTTATACGAACATTTTCTCACAGCTGTTAATACCAGATGATATTTTTATAGTTTTGGGGTTTTATATTAACATTTTCTCACAGCTGTTAATACCAGATAATATTTTTATAGTTTTGGGGTTTTATACGAACATTTTCTCAAAGCTGTTAGATACCAGACAATATTTTTATAGTTTTGGGGTTTTATACGAACATTTTCTCACAGCTGTTAATACCATATGATATTTTTATAGATCAGCTTAACGTTTTGGTCAGTGATTTCTAATATTCTACCTGTTTATCTCCCCTTAATTTGAAACTTCATTCACATATACAGTATATTGAAACTTTCATTTCTTCATCATTGACTTGAGATTGCAATGACATGCATGTTACTATTACCAGGTAGTCTTATCTGTAGCAATTAATTACATGTTGGTGTAGTTACTGTTGTGCTAACACACCAAATGAAACGTGTGTATCATAAATGTCTGTACACACCTAATTCTGTATATGATTAATTACTAAAGCATGATGATGATTTTTTTTGGTACATTACTTTTTACACAACAATAATTAAATATTAACAGCATTAATTGATAATGAAAGTGTTTAAACTTCCTTTCCCTGGTGAGGCTCGGCTTAAGTCGTCAGCATGTCATGTATCGGTGAGATATTAGCCTCCAGCTAAACATCTCCAGCTAGTGTTATCTCTTATATCTGGTATACCTGGCGGCTTTGATATTCAACATGATTAATGTTTTCACCTGTAATCAATAAAAGCATTAGTTGACAGTAAGTGATTAAGTCCATTAGTTCTGTTTAACAGCTATTTATACTGATACATCATGGTTACATAGATATAATTGATTGACAGATCGTAATTCTGTTTTAGAAATTGAATTTTTTTTTTCCCGATATATATCGAAATGAAATAGATAAGATTGTGATGACCCTTAATGTATGGACTACAGGTTATAGGCAGGACTGACTGGGATTGGCTTTTAAATGTCACAGACATATGATGTCACTGTGTATCGTACATGTATATCCTTTCATGTCTTATATATGAAATAAAAAATATCTCCGCAAGAAATAACAGTATTATTACAAAATCATGTACAAAGGTCAAATCTAAAGTGCATTTCAAAGCACAAATCTTTAAGAGAAAATATTGGGTATGGGGGGGGGGAAACTGAGGTAGACTCACTGTCATGTCTCCATTACGAAACTCAGACCTAGTTACCACAAAAGGGTTGGGTACAGGTAGGGAACAGACAGACTAACTGTCATATCATCACTGCGAGACAAGAACCTAGTTAAACCAAAGAAAAGATTTGGTACAGGTTGGAAACAGGCAGGCTCACTGTCAAGTCACAACTTTCTAAACACAGACTCAGTTTCAAAAAAAAAAAAAAAAATTTGGTACAGGTGGGAAACTGGCAGATTTAATGTCAAGTGACCACTTACTAAACACGTGTCTACTTACCAAAATAAAGAAAAAAGATTTTGTATGAGTTGGAAACAGGCGGTGTCGATGTCAAGACTGAGCTCATTATAAAAGACAGTTTTGAATCACCACTTACTAGATACAGTTTGGCCTTGCTATAAGATTGAGGAAGGTTGGACGGAGGCCGACTCACTAATACTACTTTACTTACTAATTACTGTTAACATTGTTATATAGAAGACTGGACAGTGGTCAGGGGGAGAGGGCAGAATCCCTGTAATCATCAGCTAGGTAGGTTAATGGTGAAAGACAATGAGAAGGGGTTGGAGGAAAAGGGCAGATTCTCTTTAAAGTAGCCACTTACTCAATAGGTACCTGAAGTGTTGTTGTATGGTGTTTGTGTGTTAGGTAGTACAGATTTCAAGAGATGTTACTGAGAATATTGAAGTGTTGTAGTGTGGTGTTTGTGTGTGAATGACATCATAAGCCCACCACACTGGGTGGTATGCTATTCGAAATGCTTCGTTTCTGTTCATCCTTATATAATTCTTATGCCCTGCACGAAAGTCAGTCTGTCTGTCCATCAGCATTTTGTTTCCAGTCAATAACTTGAGTTTCCTTGGGCCAATCAAGCTCAAACTTCATGCAGTGCTTTCTTATTGAAATTGTGCTTGCATGGGATTGCTTTTCATCATCAAAGGTCAAGGTCACTGTTACTATAAATAGAAAATCAGTTTCTGTGTGAAAACTAGAGTTTGCTTTGGCCAATCAAACCCAAACTTTACACAGTATTTCCTTAACAAAAGTGTTTGCTTCGGATTGAGTTACAGTTTTTAAGGTCAAAGTTCAAGGTCATTGTTACTGAAAATAGAAAAATCAGTTGAAAGTATCTCCTCTAACGGAACTACTGCTCTGAAGCAAAGGGAGAATAAATGGGTTCATGAGTACATGATGGACTGTTCTAAAACTTATGTCCTTTGGTATAAATTAAAGTGTAGGAGACTGTGTTGTGGCACATTCCAAATTTTGTGGACATTTCCTACCTTTTGCTCAGGACAGGAAAATGGAAGAACATGAATACATTTCTGTTCAGATTGTTATAGATTTAACATTTCTTGATGAATAACATATATAAAATTTCATGGATTTTATCTCCTGGATTGGAAACTTTGGGGTTGTTTTTTTTTGGGTGGGGGGATATAACTGTTATTCACACTTATCAATCAATTTAATAATATCGAAAAAAATTCCTACTTTTTCCTTTTGAGTTATGTGTCTAAGGTTGGGTTGTTTTTGGGGGGATTTCCAGCCATTTAGTGGGATCCTTTGCTGACTTGTCAGTGTTCTAGTTATCACTAATTCTGTAATGGACAGATCTTTATTGGTTTTCATAAATAGGTAGGTTCACCTTTTTGGATTTTAGGACAAGTCACTGATCAGAAAGCAAAATGGTTTCCAGGTAGCTGTTTTAGATTTTGTCTTTTCTTGAGAAATACTGGATGATTTTTTTTGTGTTGTTTTCCATTTATTTTGCTCCCTAGTTGTGCCCTTTTGATTTTTGGACTGTTCAGGAAAACAAAATGACTGACAGGCGATAGTATTTGATTTGACATGTAAAGATTTTTCAAAAGATATACATTGTTAAATGAATACATTTTAGCACCTGGATTTAAAGATTGTTCAAAAGATATACATTGTTTGGTGAATACATTTTAGCACCTGGATTTAAAGATTGTTCAAAAGATATACATTGTTTGGTAAATACATTGTAGCACCTGAATTTAAAGATTGTTCAAAAGATATACATTGTTTGGTAAATACATTGTAGCACCTGGATTTAAAGATTGTTCAAAAGATATACATTGTTTGGTGAATACATTTTAGCACCTGGATTTAAAGATTGTTCAAAAGATATACATTGTTTGGTGAATACATTTTAGCACCTGGATTTAAAGATTGTTCAAAAGATATACATTGTTAGGTAAATACATTGTAGCACCTGAATTTAAAGATTGTTCAAAAGATATACATTGTTTGGTAAATACATTGTAGCACCTGGATTTAAAGATTGTTCAAAAGATATACATTGTTTGGTGAATACATTGTAGTACCTTTTGATACAAGATTAGAATTAGATACAAAAATTAGCGAAATGACAATAAAACTGTACATAAAGCAGTTTTGTTTTCAACTTTAGAACAAATGAGGATCTAACAATAGTGGGGTTTTTTTGTGAGATTATTGTTGATGTTACAGAGAGGATTTAAGCATTGTACATACAGCACAATGTTTATGTCATCCTGTGATACTTATTTCATGACTGTTGTAGAAATCCAGGGAGGTTCGTGATTTTGATGGGGTGTTTGATGAGAATGCCAACCAGGTGGTGGAGATGGATATGGGATTCAAGTCACCAGAAATACCTAAAAAGATAGTACCACCAAAACGCAGCCATCGAGTGGACGATTCACCAAATAGTAAGCAGATGATGAGTGACGGCTCTGATGACATAGATTGGCAGGACTTTGATGAAAAGGCATACATAGACAAGAAGCGTTGTACTGCAGGACAGGACTGTTACACTGCAAACAAATTCAATCAACTTGCAAGTGACAATGTCAAGAGTAATCGTCATGTGATGGACACGCGCCATTCCATGTAAGTCATACATTACAGCTTACTTGTGTAAGTCATAACTTCGAAATTAAGTACCATTGATAACCAAATTCTGTAGTTAACCTCCAGACAGGAACCAAACCCTTATACACTACTCCCTTGGTGATTTTTAAAGTGCTTAACCTCAAATCTGAGATTCTTAATTTCATTAATCAGGGGATTTTAAAAAGCACAAGGAAAACACGTAATTATGGTTGAGCATCTTCACAAAAATCAGACCTTGGTCTCCATCTTCATAATCAAACAGCTCTGCCAACCCACCCAAAGAAATTGAGTGACACAGGCCTGTTTAACACACATAATTGAGATAATCTTATCTAACATATAAAAAAGGTTTTGGGTTTTAAGGGGAAGACTTGTGTTTTTGAATTTTATGCAAAGAAGATGCACCTAGTCAGGTTTCTCTGAACATTTAGTTTTGGTGGATTTTAAGAATTTGCAAAACACCTTTAAGTAATGTTCTTTTTCATTTCCTAGATTTTAAGCTTCACTGAATACTGTTATTTAGTAAATAGGATAGGTTTGAATCAGAAATTGAATTTTTCAAGTCTGTAGTAATTATAGTGAATTAAAACAGGGACAGTGACGACATATACCAGGTAATTTTGTGGAACTCTTGTTCTCATAAAATCGGATGCCATTGTTTTAATAAGACACCAGGAATAGAATAGAGATGAAAATTAACATAGGATTAATTAAACTGATGTATATAGCTACTGAAACATTCACCAAATTAGCAGACAAAAAATGAGAGACACACTTTCCCTTTCACCATAAATGACATGCCGTTACTTGTAATTTCATATTGGGAGATACACATTGTATAGAATATTGGTGTCCCTTGGTAGGGGCAGATTAAGCTGGTCTCATGATAAAATCACTTAATTATTACAGTCTTATATTTCATTAACTGAAGAACCAATCAAGTTTACATGACTAATTGTTCAAATGTACACCTTAACATGATGTATTATGAAATATTTCAGGAAGGAGTGTTGACCTGTCAACAGGTATTGTCTTTTTATGCCCCTATCATGAAATGTGTGCTGTGTATATTGCTGTCCTGTGCAATCATCCTGTCATAATTTGGTTTTCACTCATGGGATACTCTTTAAACTATAATAGATATTGAAGTGTATCTCATATGTAGCTTTATAATGATAGGTTGCTGGTCTACTTAGAACAAAAGATTGCAGGTCAAGTTACAATAGTAGATTGCTGGTCAAGTTAGATATTGAAGTATATCTGGTATGTAGCTGCGGAAAGATAAGTTTCTGATCAAGTTACAATAGTAGATTGCTGGTCAAGTTAGATATTAAAGTGTAACTAGTATGTACAGTGATGTGCCAAAAGTATTCGGTTACAATGGCAGCATGTTTACATTTTGACATAAATACAGCCAATATAAAATGTTGCCGAGTGGTAAATAAATAACTCAATTGCAACAAAATTACACACTTACCTTAGTATTTGGTGAGGTGTCCCTTAAATCTGATCATGTTTAAAACCCACCTAGGGATCAAATTATATAAGCTGTGGATGTAGGCAGACATAATCTCCATCCAGAGTTTTTGTATTTCCCGGAACAAATCTTCTTTCGGGATTGGAGTTTTATTTGACATACAACCAAACCTTTTCATTAATATCTATATCAGGAGACAGTGCAGACCTACTCATGCTGTTGATTCCATTCTGGGCAACATAATCCTGGATGGACCTTGCATGATGTACAGGCGTATTATCATCTTGGAAATAATAACCACCTGCAGGGGAATGCCTTGCAATGACAGACCTGATGTGTTCCTCCAAGACTTCTTGATATTTTGCAGCATTAATCTTCCCATGGATAGAAGTCAACTGTCCATACACCATTACAGCAAATGTAAACCCAACTCATCACTTCTTATTTGTTGTGCGTGGAGAGAGGCTGACCAACAATGGGTCTTCATCCTTTGTCACATTTTCTCAGACATAAACACTGTGGTCCTGACTTTCATTCAAGAATGTGATCCTTTTCCAGTTGTCTCAAATCCCTTTTATCTTTTCTCATGCAAGTGTCTTTCCCCGATTCACTTTTTTGATCGTAAGTTTTTTTCTGAGAAACACCTCATTGATTGTTTTCCACTGATTCAGAACTTTCTGATGATATCAATAATTGTAGATTTAGGTAATTTTAGCATCGTACTCATATTTTTGTGAGAATATCCACTCTGAAATAGCCTGATGATCATATTTTTCACATCCACAGAAAGCAAACGACAATAAAAATATAACGTCACATAACTTCATGTAGCTAAGAAAGCTTGAAATAGAGTTCATCATCATCAGTAACGCTAAAAACGAAGACCTTTAATGTACGGCCATGACAGAGAATGAAAACATACCATCATTGTGACTGAATACTTTTGTATACTGTAGCTGTATAGTGATTTGTTGCTGGTCAAGTCAGAATAATAGAATGTTGGTCAAGTCAGAATAATAGAGTGTTTGTCAGGTCAGAATAATAGATTGTTGGTCAAGTTAGAATAATAGAGTGTTTGTCAGGTCAGAATAATAGATTGTTGGTCAAGTTAGAATAATAGAGTGTTTGTCAGGTCAGAATAATAGATTGTTGGTCAAGTTAGAATAATAGAGATGTTTGTAAGTCAGAATAATAGATTGTTGGTCAAGTTAGAATAATAGAGTGTTTGTCAGGTCAGAATAATAGATTGTTGGTCAAGTTAGAATAATAGAGTGTTTGTCAGGTCAGAATAATAGATTGTTGGTCAAGTTAGAATAATAGGATGTTGGGTAAGTCAGAATAATAGATTGTTGGTCAAGTTAGAATAATAGAGTGTTTGTCAGGTCAGAATAATAGATTGTTGGTCAAATGAGAATAATAGATTGCTAGTCAGGTAGAATAACAGAATGTTGGTCAAGTTAGAATAATAGAATGTTGGTCAAGTTAGATATTGCAGTTCTTATGTAGTATGTAACTGTATGTTGTTAGGTTGGTGGTCAGGTTTCTCTTTGGTTACATCCAGTTTTTTTTCTCTAGAGTTTGTTTGGTCATTTAACTCTCTAAGAAATTTTCATAACAAAAGTGGACAACCTTGTCTTACTGCCATGGCAATTAATTGACTGTTAAAAATAATATCTATTGTTGTATTAACTTAGAGTATTTATTGTATTTATTGTTGATTTAATGCAGGTGCAAATCTGCCGACTTTTCTTCTGATCTGCCTCCTACAACAGTGATCATCACCTTCCACAATGAGGCTCGGTCCACTCTCATCCGCACTATTGTCAGGTAGGTGAATTCACCAGGTATTCTGTTGGCTCTTACTGAAGTCGTTTGTAAAAATGCTTATTGTTAAAGAAAAATTACTTTTGAACAAGATGTAATTAATTCAGTTGTGGCTAGGGTGAAATTTGATACTTTCTGAAAAAATTGTTGCTAGGATGAGACATGACACGTTCTTGGAAAACTCTGGCTAGGATTAAAATTGATATCTCCTGTAAATATTTTTCCATGTCATGTTGTGGTTGGTAGAATTGCATATGTTTACAACACGCAGCGACTAGATGATTAACAGTGGTGTACAATTCATCTCCTTAACAGACTGGACTTTTGCATTAGATTTTGTATTAAACAGGAGTAAGAGACATTTTCTAGAATTAATTTTGAAGATATTGCATAAATATACAAAATATACCTGTGGCTTTTAGTGCTCAGAGGTTAAGATTATACATCTCTGATGTGGATTTGCATAACTATCTATGATATATGATATTCACCGTGATAAAGAATTATCTTGTGAGTTACAGCTATGTAAATTTCTGTAATTGCAGTGTTTTCAACAAAAGCCCAGCGCATCTCATCACCGAAATAATATTGGTGGACGACTTTAGTGATGATCGTAAGTCACAGGGAAATTTTGTTGACCAGGGAATACTTCCTGTAATCACTTACAGATCATGGTACTAGAGGACACTAGAGGTAACCTCTAGTTAACCTTACAAGTCATGTTATTGGGGGACACAATGGGTAGGATAAAGTTACCCGTGACAAGTCATGTTACTAGGGGGACACTAGAGGTAACCTCTAGTTACCCCTCACAAGGTATGTTATTGGGGGACACAAAGGGTAGGCTCTAGTTACCCCTCACAAGTCATGTTACTAGGGGGACACTAGATGTAACCTCTAGTTACCCCTCACAATTCATCTTACTAAGGGACACTAGAGGTAACCTCTAGTTACCCCTCACAACTCATCTTACTAAGGGACACTAGAGGTAACCTCTAGTTACCCCTCACAACTCATCTTACTAAGGGACACTAGAGGTAACCTCTAGTTACCCCTCACAACTCATCTTACTAAGGGACACTAGAGGTAACCTCTAGTTACCCCTCACAAGTCATAATATTGGGGGACACTAGAGGTAACCTCTAGTTACCCCTCACAAGTCATAATATTGGGGGACACTAGAGGTAACCTCTAGTTACCCCTTATAAGTTATGTTATTTGGGACACCAGGTGTAGCCTCTAGTTACCCCTCACAAGTCATGTTATTGGGGGACACCAGGTGTAGCCTCTAGTTACCCCTTATAAGTTATGTTATTGGGGGACACCAGGTGTAGCCTCTAGTTACCCCTTACAAGGCATGTTATTGGGGGACACCACGTGTAGCCTCTAGTTACCCCTTACAAGGCATGTTACAGGGGAAACCAGTGGTAACGTCTGAAAATCCCTCACATGTCAAATTACTGGTAACACCATGGGTTTTCTCTAGGTGCCCCTCATAATCCTTATTATTGAGAACACCAGAGGTAACCTCTACTTAGCCTCCATATGTTATATTACTTTGGGACACCAGGGGTAACCTAAGCCATGTTACTGGAGAAACCAGGGGTAACCTCAAGATACCCGTCAGAAGTCATGTTACAAGGTATTAACTGGGGTAACCTTGAGTTCACTCTCATGTCATGCTACTGGGGACACCTGGAATAACCTCCACTAACCACTCATTGTATATCTTGGTGTATAAGACGGTATGCCATGCCTCTTTATAAGACCTTCCTATATACCTCTATGACCCTTTATATACATTTCTTGATGGATATTCCATTGGTCACACAGCATCTGATGGCTTGGAATTGGAAAAGATGAAAAAGGTGAAGCTGATTCGTAACAATAAGAGGGAGGGACTTATGCGATCCAGGATCAAGGGAGCTGATGCTGCGTCGGCGACGGTGCTAACCTTCCTCGACAGCCACTGTGAATGTAATGAGAAGTGGTTAGAACCTCTTCTGGAACGTGTTGCCGAGGTCAGTTAGTTTGTTTCATGTTTTTGGCCAAGATTCTTTACAGGAAAACATTGTCACCTTCTGTGTGACAAGCAGTATCATTAATGGGTCAATTAATGTTATCCGTTACGTCATTATAAAGTGTGTTTGTACCTGTATACAAGACAAACATCGTGTGGTTAGCCCAATCATTGATATCTTAATTGATGTGATTTGTTATGTCGTTGTAAAGAATAAATATTTGTCTATATACAGGACAAACATCGTGTGGTAAGCCCAATCATTGATGTCATCAACATGGATAACTTTGAGTACATTGGTGCATCTGCTGATCTCAAGGGAGGTAAGTCATGGTGTTTTACATACTGGAAAAAAAAAACAATTCTTTAAATGACTTTAACACCAAATTGATATACATTAAGGGAAAATTGGATACCACTCTAGCAGGTGAAATCATGAAAATGTATTATTCAGAGCTTTTTTCTTTTTTAATGAATTTAATGAAATATTCTGTTTTTGATGTAGGCTATAAAACAGTAAATGGGTCAAGTTCACTTTCATCATTCTGTTCATCAATCTGTCTATATGCTATCATTCTGGGACAGAAAAGGAACACATATGTCTTTGTGAAACTTTGTGAACTTCTTCCTGTTTTATGCTCCCTGAAATTTTCAGGTGAGCATGTCATTTCCACTTTGTCCATCCGTCCTTTGGTATCTGTAGCATAACTTTGCCCACAGTTAAACAAGGATCGTCAAACTTGGTGTATACATTGGTTATACTAAGAGGATGTGCATTGTACCAGGGCCTACAACCCCTTAATTACAGAGTTATTGCTCTTTATAAGAATTTTGTGTCAAGAACACAACTTTAAAATGCTTGCATTTACACTAGGGTAATGAAACTTGGTGGATACATTGATCATACTAAGACAATTTGCTGTGTACCAAATTCAGGACCCTTGGCCCTTGAATTACAGATTTAACTGCCCTTAGTTAAAATTGTATTTCTGGAGCGAAACTTTACCAACATTTAATCTAGGATCATGAAATTAGTTGTGAAGTTTCAATTTTCTACAAGGTCTAGGTTACCTCAGGTTAAGCATATGACCAGGTATGTTTTCTTTTCAGTATATTTTTTGCCTCTCATTTGCCCTTTAACGGCACTGGATGTGGGATTTTGATTGTTTTATATATACTAGTTGAAAAAAGGAACTGTGCATGTGTAAAATGTTCATGTATTGCTCAATTTTATTACTTAAAGCTTGAAACATTATACGGGTAAGTTGTGAATGCTGCTCCATCGTTTACATTGCTCAGTGCATGAGTTGCACATGTAGTTTGTCTGACCCATATCTTTGTTTTCATGTTCTTTTTTGGCCAGCAGTCAATCACAAACATATTTGTCACCTAAACCTGTGTAAAAGCATAGTGTAAATACCTGTAACACACAAAACCAGCATAAATTTGATATGCCATGGCAAGGTTGAATAAAACTGACAGATTCCATGCTGTAGGCATGATCAAAACTGGTGTGTGTCATACTGATGTTGCCGGACAATTTGGTGTGCACTGAAATACAGTAGACACCTTGTGGAGATGGTACCAACAGTTTGGGACCACCAGAGGCTGGCCTCACACAGGATGTCTACCCATTACATCTAATTGCCATGATACGTATATCCGGGTCGTTCATTTCCATGAAGTATTCAGAACTGCTTCTTTGACAACTAGAAATATTCCTGACCTTAGAAGAACCGTATGTAATCAATCAGTTGAATGAGGCATAGAACTACAACGTCCAGCCATTTGCCCTGTTCTTCAGCAGCAGCATCATGTAGCACATTTAGCCTGGTGAAGACGACACATACACACGGCAGGACTGGGCAAGTGTTCATTTCATGGATGAGTCTAGGTTACATCTCAGCAGCAGCGACGGTCGTTCTAGAGTGTACCGTCCTGTTGGTGAACATTTCCATGACTGTTGTGTGATTCAACAACAGCCATTTAGTGGAGGTAGTGTCATGGAGTAGGGTGACATCTGATTCTGTGGCAGAACAGCTCTTGTGGTTGTGGACAGCACACTTACAGGCATCAGATACCGTGACAAAATCATCCAGCCTCACGTCCTTTCATTTGTGTAGCAACTTAACGTCACACTGCAATGATAATGCTTCCCTGCATGTCACGTGGGCTGTCACTGACTTCTTGATCCAGAATAATGTGGATATGCTGTCCTGTCCTGGCCTGCAATATCACTGAATATACCGCCTATAAAACATGTGTGGGATGAGATGTAGCATCGCGTACCTCCAAAATCAGCTGTTGTGGTTACTTGACCTTGACCTTATGAAAATATGGAATGGTATTCCCTTGGCATTTTTCAGCACACTTGTTGCATCAATGAGGCATCATTGTCAAGCATGCAGTGATTCCAATTGTGGACGTACACGGTATTGATAAGCTGAACTTTGTTTAGAGAATATCTGTGAAAACTGATCTCTGTCCAAGATGCTGCTGATGCAATAACCATATCAACTGAGCTGGTGTTAAATAAAGGTCAGATAAAACCCTGTTGAAAATTTTATGGTGATTTCATATGTACCTCCTTACATACTATACTCATGCACAGTTTCATTTTTCAGCTAGTATATTTTTGAATGAGATATTATAATCAGGTTGAAATTCTGGGATCAGGATTTGCTGTTTTTTCTAGTGCATGAGGAATGGACTTTTATTAAAGTCTTTTCATTCTGTCATTCCCAGTTTTCTGCGCATTTGATACATTATATGTTTTTAATTGACATTAATTTCTGATTGTGCTATAGACATTCATTATGATAGTATTTTAAGATTTCCATTTATTCATTCATTTAACACATTTTCATTTCAGTATTTCACATTTTATTTATTTCACTTATACTTTTTTTTCATTTCGTTGATCATAATTGTTTATTATATATATATATATATATATATATATATATATATATATATATATAAGATACACACTTAAACTATTTAGGTAGTCTGTATTGTACATTTGTATGTTGTCATTTTATCCTTCCGTGAGATTTTTATTTCACTATACAAATGTTGAATGCAATCGTAATATTACTTTAATCAGCTTTGGAAATGATATATTTTTAGATAAAAGGAGTTCCTTATAGAATGAGTATCATGTCATTATATTCAGTTTTATTTCTGAGTGAATTTTGAAATGTTTTGTAGGTTTTGATTGGAATCTTGTTTTCAAATGGGACTATATGACTTATGAGGAAAGAAATAAGAGAAACAGCAACCCCATAGCCCCAATCAGGTAGGTGTTTACTGACCTATATTTCCAATCAGGTAGGTGTTTACAAACCTATATTTCCAAGCAGGATCGTGTTAACAAACCTATCAATCCAATCAGATTGGTGTTTACAAACTTGTATATCCAATCAGATTTACAAATTTATATTGCCAAACATGTAGTTGCCTACAAGGTTATTTTTAGCAAATCAGATAGGTGTTTATAAATCTGTATGGTCAATCGGGTAGGTGTTAAAAAATACTCAGAGGCTTACTATACCAGGTGTATGTGTACTTTTAAGATTTAGTAATATAGTATAATTGACAAAGGGATGTGTTTACAAATCTATAAATGTTCTATAACAAATATTGGCATGGTTGCAACAATATATAAGTTAATGGGTGCCAATAATTATCTCCATACCTCATACTCAACATAGGGGGTTTAAGAGCAGGTTTGTCCACTGGATCATGTGTCTGTCCATTTATTGTGAATCTTTAGTGTCTGATGAACCTTCCTTAATAAATCAATATCTGACTCCGTCTCAGGATTCATTTTTTATATATATATTCAATAGTTCCTTATACTTTTTTTTGGAAGGAGAGGTTTATGTTACATTGTATTTACAGAACACCAATGATTGCTGGAGGCTTGTTCACTATTGAAAAGAGTTGGTTTGATGAGCTTGGAAAATATGACATGAAAATGGATGTTTGGGGTGGTGAAAATCTAGGTATGTATTTTACCTTACACACATAAATATTGGATTAAAAATTTAAGTAGGATGTATTGTACTTTTACACACTGAAATGTTGTAGAAAATGTAGGTATATATTTTACGTTAAACACAAAAATATAAGTATGATAACAATAACTCCAGTGTTCTTGATCAACATAATGATCAGTCTGCATTATTTAACTTCCCACTTGTATACACTGTTCTCTACTACAATATCATTGAACACCAATCAGTATGTTGTCTGTCTTCCTTTGCTGTTGGAATCAAAACTAAAAGACAGTTCACTTCATCTTCTTCTCAAGATCTAGATATGGTATAATCAAACGCTCTTCATGAATGAAAGCATCTTAATGTGCTTTAATTACCAAAATGAGTCTCACATTTCTTTCTGGGGAGGAATATTTTTAGACATAATAGAAATTTGTATTTTTGAGCATAACGTTGGTTATTTCCCACTGAAAATAACTTTATAAGAATTATCAGTATAGGATGACAGTTTTGATGGAATGCATGTATTGACACTGTCTATATTCAGTGTCACAATTTCTATTTCACGACACTTGATAACTATCCTTTAACCTTTATATTCAATATTGTTTATCTCAGGTGACTGTCAAGGTAGCTAGGCCTCTTTTTGTAAGATATGACATCACCATGTCGTTTATTTGGCATAATACATCATTCTGTGTGGTTTTGTTAATTAAATAAACTATGGCACCATTATTTTATATTATTATAAATATTATGTCTACATCATTATATTTGGTTTTTCTCTGTAAGATTGTGTTGCACTATTGTAGAAATATCTTTCCGAGTGTGGCAGTGCCATGGATCGTTGGAGATAATCCCTTGTAGTAGAGTGGGACATGTCTTCAGGAAACAGCACCCGTACACCTTCCCCGGAGGCAGTGGCAACGTGTTTGCCAGGTAACACTGGATGCCATTTTGTTGATATGGAACAAATAGCAGCCATCAAAGTATTTCTGATTTCTTTCAGTTTCATGACAATGTTTTCGTACTTATTTGTTACAGACAAATGCTTCAAACATTCATTCTTTATATCACAATATGATTTGGGTTTGATGGCTTATGGAAACCATTACAACAAAAAATTGGTCCAATCCATCTACATGGTAATGAAAAGAAAAACATGGTCAGTCTCACAGAGAATGGCGCCAGTAGAATTAGAAGCCTGGCCAGATGTCAGATCAAAAGTGGACGAAAAGTTTTGAAACTGAAAGTCAAAATACAGCTTGAAAATAATGTTAACACAACAGAGATCTGTTTCAGTATATTCCTTAGGATAGATTAATCGAGAAAATAGAATTGTTTTATCGGAAGAGTGTTACATACTGTGGTCAAAGGCTAGGGGCCATTCTGTCAGCTTTTGGAGATATATATGCAGCACTAATTATAAAGATCAGTTGTGAAGAGGTATCACTGTAACTTGATGTTTTTTGACACAGGAATACACGACGAGCAGCAGAGGTGTGGATGGATGAATATAAGGAGTTCTACTACGCAGCTGTGCCTTCAGCTCGCATGGTGTCCTTTGGAGAGTGAGTTCCCTATTTGTACCAAAGAAACAAGTTTTCTCACTGTTATTCTTGTGTCTGAAGTCATGGTTGATAGTCAGACTACTATTACAATTCCAAGATAATTTTATTGAGGATATAGCCTATCGGTATGATCCAGCCTGTCTTCACATAATTATAGCATATACATACATATGCATAAGTCTGTCTACAACTATACATAAATATCTGTCTAATCCGTTGTTTTTCTCTGGTAACTCCGGCTTTCCTCAACCATCTAAACTTGGCATATCCTTAAATGACCCTGGCTGTTAGTAAGATGTAAAGGAACAATAAATCTAATCAAATTGGTGTTTTACATTGTGATAATTAGAGTTCACACATCGGATAATTCTATTGATACTGTACAAACTGTATTCACTGTTGAGAGGTTTTTATCTGTGAAATGGTTAAAGAAAAGGAACAATAATGCTATGGTAGTATGATGTATACAGTACAATGGTACAGTGCAAATGGTGTGAAAACTGTTTTTTTAGATTGAGACAGAAAGAGTGCACAGGTCTCTAATGAATTTTAAATGTATACAATGACTAACCAACATCTTGTGCCATCTATGGTCAAGCATCCTGTTCGATGTGATCAAATATTTTCACTGGTTTGCTTTTCCATTCTAGCATCACAGATAGGTTAAAGCTACGAGAAAATCTACAGTGCCATTCTTTCAAGTGGTTCTTGGAAAATGTTTACCCAGAACTCAAGTAAGTACTGATTCTTAAGTAATGATCTTTACTAGTACAACATATTCACTTTCACTTCTTGATCTTCTAAAAACACTCTTAATAGAGTTAATACCTTGTAACTTAATACTTAATGTGTTTAACTTTTAGACATTGTATTTTGTACTTGATGTGTTATACAATGTAACTTTATACTGATATACTGAAAGGACTTATATATCGTAATTTCACACTGAAACGGCTAATACATTGTAACTTTATACTACTGAAGGGACTAATACATTGTTTTTTATACTTGACATGTTATACAATGTTACTTCATATTGATATACTGAAATGGCTTATACATTTTAACTTTACACTGAATGAGCCAATACATTGTAACTTTACACTGAACAAGCTAATACATGAAATCTTTGTACTATCAGTACAAATGAATCATACCTTGTTGGTACATTTGTAACTGACCAATAATTTTTTTGTGTTTGTTACAGAGTACCTAACACACAGGATGTGGCATTTGGTTGTATCCAACAGGACACAATGTGTGTTGACACAATGGGCAATTTCGCTGATGGCACCTTAGGAGTCTTTCCATGTCACTTCGCAGGAGGAAATCAGGTCTTTTTTTTCCCCCAATGAAAATAGATTTTCACATATTGTTTAAGAAAATGTCCCACCTCAAAAATAGCTACTGTAGAGAGAGTTAAGATACAAAGGTCCTACACCATGCATTGGTATTGCTGACAATTTGATAACACTCTGTTTGTTATACCCCTGTAATAGGGAGGGAGGGTTATACTTGAATCAGGTTGTCTGACCATTTGTAGATACAATGATGTACTGGCTACACCTCCTATACTACTAGGTAAATTTCAATGAAACATGCTGGCAATAATCCTTATACATTGCAAATAAGCATGATCTATATCACATCGAGTTATCTCCCCTTTTCGGAAACTTATGTCCCTTAAAGGTATCCAGAAACCATGACTCTAAGCTAATTTCAGGAAAATATTAATTTCATGAAAGATTAAATAAGTTTGTTAGTAGATATATTGGTGGGAGATGACATCAATACAGCGATGATAGATGACTTACATTTGATGATTTACAGGAGTTTTCACTAGGTAAAGATGGAATGATTCGACATCTTGACCTCTGCTTGACCTTGACATCAACAGCAGAAGGCAATACCATCAAACTATATCAGTGTCAGGAGAACAACAACTTACAGGTAAGTCAAACAACACCCTTAGTTCAAAGTAAATCACTGATTACTTCACAGCTCCAGGTAAATCACTGATCACTCCACAGCCCCAGTGATCACTCCACAGCCCCAGGTAAATTACTGATCACTTCACAGCTTCAGGTAAATTACTGATCACTCCACAGCTCCAGGTAAATCACTGATCACTCCACAGCCCCAGGTAAATTACTGATAACTCCACAGCTCCAGGTAAATTACTGATAACTCCACAGCTCCAGGTAAATTACTGATCACTCCACAGCTCCAGGTAAATCACTGATCACTCCACAGCTCCAGGTAAATCACTGATCACTCCATAGCCCCAGGTAAATTACTGATCACTCCACAGCTCCATGTAAATTACTGATAACTCCATAGCTCCAGGTAAATTACTGATCACTCCACAGCTCCAGGTAAATTACTGATCACTCCACAGCCCCAGGTAAAATACTGATTACTTCACAGCTTCAGGTAAATTACTGATCACTCCACAGCTTCAGGTAAATCACTGATCACTTCACAGCTTCAGGTAAATTACTGATCACTCCACAGCTGCATGTAAATTACTGATCACTCCACAGCTCCAGGTAAATTACTGATCACTCCACAGCTCCAGGTAAATCACTGATCACTCAACAGCCCCAGTTAAATTACTGATCACTCCACAGCCCCAGGTAAACAATGAAGTTTACAGCAGCAGCTGTTATGGCTTACTGTGAATAAAGAAAACCTATATGTAAACTTTTAGAATAATGAAGTCCATTCTCTGTAATGTAGAGTGAATGTGCTTTTCACTTCTTTTAACTAAATTAATTACATAATAGATTTATTGCATGGTTATCCCAAAAATGTCCCATTTGTGTGTTTTAGGTGTGGACTAGGTTCAACGAAGACACCATGCTAAAGAGTAAACATCTGGATCTTTGTCTGGACAGTAGGGAAGTACAAATAAAGAGTAAGGGGCTCACAGCCAACAAGTGTGATACAGAGTCATCATCACAACGATGGAGCTTCCAAGTCTCCAGGAACTAAGTGTAAAGGGCTTGATGCCAACAAGTGTGATACAGAGTCATCTTTGCAGTTGGAGTTTCCAGATCTTCAGAAACTAAGGACTGTTGTCGTGGCATTCTCGCAAAGAGGCTTGATAAGGTTCTGCCAAAAAGTCAAATGAAATCCAAGGATTAACTATTTTCTAGTTTATGCCATAATTGTGTGTTACAGCTTTACTCCATCTCAGGGTCCATTTGTTATTTGTAGTTTGTCTGGTAAATCTCCAGTTGTCTCCCCTCCACATAGCCTTGACATCTTTTATTCTAATGCCCCTTCCATTATGTGGGGATGCCCTGGGCTGTTATTCTCTAATTTATCATAATTTGATCTCTGTTCAAGTTTTCCTTTGTGGATGAAGACACTGAATTGTAATTTGGAATGTAGATGTATAAATTTGGTTCTGATCAACGATTTCTTTTTCCAAAAGATATGACCTCTGAACTTAAAAAAATTTCAACAAATCAACAGATTCTAGGTATTTTCTCGGGGCTGGATGGGAATATGTAACTGAAGTTTAATATGAACATTGGTTGTATGTTTGTACTAAATCAGCTTTATATGGATTAAAGTAGTCAGCGTTGGTTGGTCAACTGATACCTGACACAATCTGGAAAACTGCCAATAACACTAAAAAGCTCCAAACACATCATTGGTTGCCAGCAGGGGTATTCAGGTCACACCAACACATGTTGTTTTGATTTTTGACAGAACTAGTCAGTAACTGATTTCCCCTTAAACATCCAGTTTTAGAAACCATGTATTGACATCCAGGTCACAAACAGCCTGAGTAGTACAGGAGCATAAGTCACTAGGAGTGAAGAGGGGTTTACCAGATATGGGTGTTTTTCCCATGTTATTTTAATGCAGGACTTCCTGCAGTGCAGGTGGTTATGGACGGCATTTGCTTACAACAGTTACATGATGTTTAGAGTATTCTCCAAGATTGTTTATGTTACACCTGGTGTGTAACAATAGGATTATCAAGGTATAATGTACTGATAGATGTGATTATAGACATACAAATCCTACATGTTTATCTAATTAACCATGGATCATACTTATAACCTTTTGTAATATAAATGCTGGTCACACTTTTACTGGTCACACTTCCCTGTAAAGCCAATCAAATTCTATAAGGAAGTTTTATATGAAAGAAAAGAAAGTGTGGTATTTTTAACAAGTATGAACTTAACAATTATAAAGATCTGATATTTCATGCTTATGAAAAGGGCACTGTACTGGTTCAGATTGCTAAACATGACAGCTTTGTAGATGTGCTATTGTAGGCAGGTCAAAGCAGTTACACTTTGATACAGCCTTATTTGATATGTTTAATAATCAACTTTTAATGAGAAATGTCTGAGTATGCTTTGTAATTAATTTTAATGGGCAGTAACTTGGTGTGCTCTGTAATTAATTTTAATGGGCAGTAACTGAGTGTGCTCTGTAATTAATTTTAAAGGGCAGTAACTTGGTGTGCTATGTGATTAATTTTAAAGGGCAGTAACTGAGTGAGCTCTGTAATTAATTTTAATGGGCAGTAACTTGGTGTGCTCTGTAATTAATTTTAATGGGCAGTAACTTGGTGTGCTATGTGATTTATTTTAAAGGGCAGTAACTGAGTGTGCTCTGTAATTAATTTTAAAGGGCAATAACTGAGTGTGCTCTGTAATTAATTTTAAAGGGCAGTAACTGAGTGTGCTCTGTAATTAATTTTAAGGGGCAGTAACTTGGTATGCTCTGTAATTAATTTTAAGGGGCAGAAACTTGGTGTACATTGCGATTTATTTTAATGAGCCATTACAGAATGTGCTCTATGATTAAGTTTAATGGGTAGTATCTAAGTGTAATCTCTGATTAACTTTAATCTGAGAGTACATGTGCTTTTCTGCTCTTGAATCGTTTTATTAAAAATTCTTGGACTGATTTTCTAATCATGCATTTTGAGTCCCATTTGTACTGCATAATCAAGTCAAATTTGTAACAAAAAGTGACAGCAATTTTACATTTATGAAAATCAAAGTTGAAGATTTACTTGTCTCCTCTCTCATCTTGGTAGATGATTATAATTGAATATAACTGAAGCCATTTTCCCCCTATGAAATCTCTATCAAATTGTCCATAAAAAACAAAGGAAATGATCATTTTCAGTCCATCATTAATCTGATCATGATGATCCATCATTAATCTGATCATGATGATCCATCATTATTCTGATCATGGTGATCCATCATGATCCATCATTAATCTGATCATGGTGATCCATGATGATCCATCATTAATCTGATCATGGTGATCCATCATTAATCTGATCATGGTGATCCATCATTAATCTGATCATGGTGATCCATAATGATCCATCATTAATCTGATCATGGTGATCCATCATTAATCTGATCATGGTGATTCATCGTTAATCTGATCATGGTGATCCATCATTAATCAGATCATGATGATCCATCATTAATCTGATCATGGTGATCCATAATGATCCATCATTAAGCTGATCGTGGTGATCCATCATTAATCTGATCATGGTGATCCATCATTAATCTGATCATGGTGATCCATCATTAATCTGATCATGGTGATCCATCATTAATCTTATCATGGTGATCCATCATTAATCAGATCATGATGATCCATCATTAATCTGATCATGGTGATCCATAATGATCCATCATTAAGCTGATCGTGGTGATCCATCATTAATCTGATCATGGTGATCCATAATGATCCATCATTAATCATGGTGATCCATCATTAATCTTATCATGGTGATCCATGGTGATCCATCATTAATCTGATCATGGTGATCCATGTTGATCCATCATTAATCAGATCATGATTATCCATCATTAATCTTATCATGGTGATCCTTATCATGATGATCCACGGTGATCCATCATTAATCTGATCATGGTGATCCATGGTGCTCCATCATTAATCTGATCATGGTGATCCATCATTAATCTGATCATGGTGATCCATCATTAATCTGATCATGGTGATCCATCATTAATCTTATCATGGTGATCCATCATTAATCAGATCATGATGATCCATCATTAATCTGATCATGGTGATCCATAATGATCCATCATTAAGCTGATCGTGGTGATCCATCATTAATCTGATCATGGTGATCCATAATGATCCATCATTAAGCTGATCATGGTGATCCATCATTAATCTTATCATGGTGATCCATGGTGATCCATCATTAATCTGATCATGGTGATCCATGTTGATCCATCATTAATCAGATCATGATTATCCATCATTAATCTTATCATGGTGATCCATCATTAATCTTATCATGATGATCCACGGTGATCCATCATTAATCTGATCATGGTGATCCATGGTGCTCCATCATTAATCTGATCATGGTGATCCATCATTAATCTGATCATGGTGATCCATCATTAATCTGATCAGTTATCAGTTATTAAAGCCACAAGCTGAGATCGTGAAACTGCTGGTATGCTCTCATTTTTGTCGGACAATCAAGCAAGAATTTACCTGTCATTACAGTATGAATTTTACCGTAAAGTAATTATCATATTAAACATATTTAGCATTGCATGTTCTTGTTCATTTCAAGGAAAAAAACAATAAAAATACTAATATCCCTGCCACAGCAATGTAGAGAGGATGCAAGGTTGTCTGTAAATCGTGTTAAAATATGTATTTCACCTTTAATTAAGGATGTTTCAATAACAGTTTTTAATTTGAATGTAATCTCACCTTATCTCACCCCTATCCCCTTACCCCACTCTTATCTCACCCCTATCCCCATATCCCGCCCCATTCTAGACTCACCCACCAACTTCAGGATTGGATGTTTCCATTGCGTTTCTGTCATAGATGTTTCAACTTAACTTGTTTTTGAAATCAGATATGGAATTTTTAGATTTATTCTTGAAACCATCTCGTATCAGAGCATCAATATGCCTTCATAACCCTGCTTTGATCAATTTTGTGTTAAATGTTAATTTTAAAAAATGGGTCCAAGAAATGATTTTTTTAGATACCCATCCATACAAAAGCCTATTTGTGATCATTTCTCACCAGTTGTTTTGGAATAATTTTGGAGAGGAGATGAATGTTACGGCAAGGTCAATTCCATATTGGAATGTCTTGCTGGTACCAAATGTATCCCAATGTTATACCCTGTGTCCTTAGCATTCCTAGTAATACCTCCCCTAGATTGTATATTAACATGTTTATCAATTATTTATTTTCGGGACAGTTTATTTATACATCAACATAGATATGATTTAATTAGATTTTAATGAAATAGTTAGTGTTAAAAATAATAACTTAAAGCAACATTTGTTTTGTGAGTGAGGATGATTTTATTATGTTGTTGCTGTCATATTATCAGCTAGAGTAATCAACAGTTACTCTTTGTGTACAGTCAAGTTCATTCTGGATTTATATTGAATTCTGATATTTTAAAATCACAATTAAATTGAAAGAATTATCATTTCCCTAATATATTATTATTGTGAAAAGACCTCCAAAAACATGTGATGTTAAGGGTTTTGTGGATTAATACAACAGTTATGGTTTACTATTTTGAAAGAAGTGTTACCATAGTAGGAGAAGGAGAGGTGGTGTTGTCAGTGTTACCACAGTTAGTGTAGGAAATTTACTGAAGGAGAAGTGTTACCATATTGAGACTAGGAGAGTTGGTATGGTCAGTATATGAAATTTACCAAAGGAGAAGTTTTACCATTTAAATTTTACCACAGTTAGTGTAGGTGGTGTCAGTATTAACACTGTTAGTGTAGGAAATTTGTCAATAGAGGATTGTCACTACTTTCAGGGTAGGAAATTTACCAACAGAAAAATGTCACCAAATATACTGTTAATAAAGTTTACGGATGTAAATGAGAATCTTGATCTTAGGTAATGTCATTATAAATTTAAATACAGTGTCATGGAAAACAGTATACATATAATGACATATTATCTTTAGTTTTGATGATAACAATCAATTTTCTATGTAGATTATAGTTGTACTTTAAAGCCAGTGTGATTTGTTTTGTAAATGTCTTCCAAATAAGGTAATGTAATCATTATGAGAAAATGTTAATTAACAGTAGGTTCCCAATATGTATGTTACTAATCATTCATTGGTTGGTGTAGTATTGTAATAGTTGTCTTTTATTTTAAAAGTTATCAGAGAAATCAGTGTGTCATAAATGTGTAAATATCACCTTCGATATTGACAGTTGTCTCCCTTTACATTTGTACAAATCATATAGTAATACATGGTTGCCTTAAAGATACCTTCAAAAGTATAATGAAGTTGATATTAATGTATTGTACAAATTATCAAATGATTATAGTGTACACCTGAAGATTTACTAAGCTTGTCTGTTGTGTTAAAGTTACTAAATTCAACAATGACATGTGATGTATAGAGTCTGTTCAACATATCTCTGTGTAAAAGGTTAAAGGTGGAGGTCACCACCATACACCTGTCTTATCACTTCATTTCAAGTAACCACCCACCGTTGGTTTGATTTAATACATTTGCTAGTTTATCAAACTGTATTTGTATTTCTAAGAATGCTTTAATTCCTTTTGAATCTTTACTTTGTGAAAGCTTTGCTTTAGTTTCACAAATATATTTTACAGTGTTATTTAACCAAGGTCTAAAAAGCCAAAACGGGTGATGAGTAATACAAAAACTGTGAGGGTAATAATAAAAATACGTAAAAAAAAATTAGATCTAAAGAATATTGAAGTAGTACCAAACTGTACAGTAATGAATCAGTTTCGATGGGTTATTTCATATTTTAGAACCATATAATTGATTATTCTTAAAGCCAATCAGTATTAACCTTATTTTTTACACATTTTCTGTATATCTAGGGTGTAAGTGGTTGTGGTGCTGACAGAATTATTGAAATTCAATTCTCTCTGTGCATCTGTTGCCTTCTGGATCAACACACTTTGTGCTCTTTGTGAGACTTTGTGTGATCCTCTACACCTTATGTTGACCTGAAGGTCAGGTTCTGACATCAACAGCTTATGTGTACCACCTTTACAGTTCTTGCTTGCGAAATCATAACGACTCTCTTATACCTCTAGTTTGTTAACATTTGTAATAGTAGATATCTATAATACATGTGTGACTGTGAGAGTGGATGGATTATTAGGATTGAATGCATTGTGGATGTTTTTACGAAGTATTTTTTTTTACAAATTTGAAAATGATTTGTTTGGTCAATTAAATCAACAACTTTATCATTGTATGTATTAATCTGAAGTTTATTTTGGTGGCAGTTTTCATGAAAGTGTTTTTCTTGACAAATAATAAAACATGCTTTGTTGTAAGCTGTTTTCTGTTTCTTACTTGCACTGTCATTAGCACTTTGTAATAAATAGATATAATCTCACAAAAATGTCAGAAGGCATATGTTGATGTCACCATACATATGTATGGACATTAAATGTAGGTATGTAACACTTGTGTTAGATATATAGAAGTATACCTACCTTTGGACACTGTCCATACCGTGTGGCTGTGATGTAAGACCTTTGGACTCTGTCCACACCTGTGTTGCTATGCTGTGTGACCTTTGGACTCTGTCTACACCATGTGGCTGTGCTGTGTGACCTTTGGACTCTGTCCACACCCATGTGGCTATGATGTGTGACCTTTTGACCCTGTCCATATCCATGTGGCTGTGTTGTGTGACATTTTGACTCTGGTCACACCTGTGTGGCTGTGCTGTGTGACCTTTGGACTCTGTCCACACCCATGTGGCTGTGCTGTGTGACTTTTTGACCCTGTCCATATCCAGGTGGCTGTGCTATGTGACCTTTTGACTCTGGTCACACCCATGTGGCTGTGCTGTGTGACCTTTGGACTCTGTCCTCACCCGTGTGGCTGTGCTGTGTGACCTTTTGACCCTGTCCACACCCATGTGGCTGTGCTGTGTGACCTTTTGACCCTGTCCATATCCATGTGGCTGTGCTATGTGACCTTTTGACTCTGGTCACACCCATGTGGCTGTGCTGTGTGACCTTTTGACTCTGTCCATACCCATGTGGCTGTGCTGTGTGCCCTTTTGACCCTGTCCATATCTTTGTGGCTGTGCTGAGTGACCTTTGGACTCTGTCCTCACCCGTGTGGCTGTGCTGTGTGACCTTTTGACCCTGTCCATATCCATGTGGCTGTGCTGTGTGACCTTTTGACCCTGTCCACACCCATGTGGCTGTGCTGTGTGACCTTTTGACTCTGTCCATATCCATGTGGCTGTGCTGTGTGACCTTTTGACCCTGTCCACACCCATGTGGCTGTGCTGTGTGACCTTTTGACTCTGTCCATATCCATGTGGCTGTGCTGTGTGAACTTTGGACTCTGTCCATATCCATGTGGCTGTGCTGTGTGAACTTTGGACACTGTCCATATCCATGTGGCTGTGCTGTGTGAACTTTGGACTCTGTCCATATCCATGTGGCTGTGCTGTGTGAACTTTTAACCCTGTCCACACCCATGTGGCTGTGCTGTGTGACCTTTTGACTCTGTCCATATCCATGTGGCTGTGCTGTGTGAACTTTGGACACTGTCTATATCCATGTGGCTGTGCTGTGTGAACTTTGGACACTGTCCACACCCATGTGGCTGTGCTGTGTGAACTTTGGACTTTGTCCAAATTCTTGTGGCTACTCCATTCTAATTGTTATGATTTAGGATTGACAATACTTAC